CAGGGAGCTCTCCCCCCGCTTGGAGCATGCTTGACAAATCTCTACCTGCCCCTCACCTGCGGACGTCACCGCACAGTGCAAATATCACTGAGCTCCCAATTCTCCTAGAAATTAAGTCAATATTAGAGTGGCTGTGCTGCAAGGCAAGCAGGACCCAGGGGACACCGAAGCGCGGCTGGCATGAGTTGTCACAGCTTCACTGAAGCCAGCGAAGCTCTGGGGGTTTACACCAGCTGAGACGTGCCCCCAAAAGGTTGATTCACTTGCCCAAAGCCACAGGCTAGACCTGGGCACGAAGCCCAACAGTCTCATCTCCCAGTCCCCTGTGCTATCCACCAGACCATGCAGTCCTCGGTGCCACCGCTCTGCAATAGCAGCTAGTGATTACAGATGAGACCATGGACTGGTTCCCTATCTGTAGTTAGCAGAAACCTTTCTTTTTAATGATGATCATTAAATAAATGACACTTTTCCCTAATCCCCGAACAATCTCTGATTGCCTGTGCTGAGAAATGGACAGCAGAAGGCAGAGGCTGGAGGAAAGATGATGCGTATGCATGTATGCATGTGCGCATACAATTGAACCAGCCCCAGTTCTGCTAATAACAATTTTGGATTTATTTCTGCCTCTCCCTACAGAGCAGTCCTGGAAGAGATGCAGATCTCTCGCTCAAAATGAGATGCAATTTAAACAAGACAAAACACCTTGGCAACTCTCTCGCTTGCCAGATCATGATTTACTGAAAGTGACTCAGGAACCACAGAGTAGCTTGTTTCCATACTGGGTCCATAATTAATTAGGTCCTAGACCTGCACACTGTGATTGCCTGAGCTGTGATAGGAAACATCTCCGGCCGTTAGCTGACTGCCACACAAAAGACCGCTGGAGAGGGGTAGGCAGTATGCAGGAGGAAGAGCAGGGACCTGCTTGTGGAGCTGGAGATAAAGCGGCAATAGCATGGAGGAGAGACTGAGGATATTACGTTCCTCTCTGGCAAGCGTGTGGCTATTTTGAAGGATAATCTCCCCGGCCCATGTTGCGCACTCTGCGATGGGGAGCGCCTGTTGGCTAGCAACAGCATCCCCTGTTCCGATAAGCCAGCTGAAACTGGGACAGGGAAAAAGAACTCGCTTGAAGCAGCTAGAAAATCCACAGCTCGGGGAAGCAAAGTACAATTATTTTAAACAACTCAAGCTAAACTAACTCTCTGTTTCCAGATGAAAGCTCCATGGGCACGGGCAAGGCCCACGCACTCCTCCTGGCTCCCCTGCCCCAGCGCTCAGCATCGCCCTTCTCCCCCCTGCTCCCAGGCCGTGGTCCAGCTCAGCTCCAGCCCTGGATGACCCACTTTGGTTCCCTTGGTTATACCCTGATGCTGATGAACCTCACACCAGCCCCTGTCTCCTTTCCTCTCTGCACTCTTCCAATGCCCGGGGACACCACAGCTCATCCTCCTCCTCTCACTTACAAAGCACTGGGGTTTTGTGCTACAGCTCTGCCCTGTGGACTCCTCTGACTCACGCACGTCACCCCATTCCCTTCATCTCTGTGTAGCTACAGTTCCTTTTGGAGCCAGCCTTGGTGAATGGTGACTCTCAGAGGAAAAAGCAAGGGGCTCCAAAGAAGCATTTGGGATTTCAAGGAACATTCTCGGGGTGCCCCATTTGGGGAATAGCAGGGCACTTTCCTCCTGCTAGATCAGCTGGCAGGGAGTCCTGCTCTCTTCTTGCAGCTGTGAGCTGGTGCACCATGACTGCATGATAACCAAAAGACAAAAAAAATGGATTTAGGGGAGGGACCGCTGGGCAAACTATTGCAGTAAGGAGGACTACTAGGGAAAGCTGAAAATAGGCACAGAGCAGCCAAGACTCCAGTTTTAAGGTCTTGCATTGAAGACCCACAAAAATGAACAGCCTGACACGCCTACATCAACAAAACAGGATTCTATACGATTGCAATATGAGCAGTCTTTTGCAATACATCAGCAGGAGCCCAACATATCTCTCAGCCACAATCTATGCTAAAATAAAAGAGCAATAGGATGATGCTGTCCCTCCGATTGATGGATGTTGGTGCTGTGAGGGTCTGGTTTGATAAATCCTTACGTAGGCTATTAAAACAAAATGGTTCAGGGAAACGGCATTACCGTGCTTGTATCAATTCAGTTTTTTCTTGTGTCACAACAAAGCTGATACACAAAGGGGAGGAGAAGAGTATGAAATGAACAGTTTCCCCCATTCCCTTCGCACCACACATACGTGCCTGTGAAGAACAGATGGAAGAAACGAACATTGTGTTGAGAGAGGAAAAGTGTTTGAAGGTTTAGCAGGGAAGGAAACTGAGACAGATGTCATGCTTATGTCATGTGTTAAAACCTTGATTGTACTTGCAGAAATGGGATATTCAATATATTGCAGGCCACGAGCTCTGCTCCTGTGCTTTGAAAGGATGCTGAGCAGGGACCAGGAGAGTTGCTGTACTCAATTCAAAGGATACACCGGGGGTGTTGGCAGCTTCCCGTTTAAAAAAGAGAAAGAAAGTGAGACCAAGTGCACAGCAGTGGGGTCCAAGCCATGGGTGTTGGCTCCATGCAGAACACAGGAAAAGGTTAACCTCAAAAACTCACAGCGCTGTGAGGCTCGATTTTGGGTCGTTCCATGGCAATGGTAATGCAGTTCAGGAAAATGATCACCAAGACGATATGATCAAACATCTTGTGTGTTATGATTTTATTGCACATCAGACGAAATCTGCCGAGAAAGAAGGAAAAAAAAAAAAAAAAAAAAGAGGAGAGACAGACTAGCTATTAAAGCTCAACTGGTTGGGGAGGAATGCAGCAGCTCAACGCATGGCAGGGGAATCGGGTGCTCCGTTTGCAAAGCAGATGAGCTGCAAGTTCCCAATCCCCTCCCTGGCAGAGCCGCATGCTGCAGGCAGATCAGGGTATGAATAGAAAAGGATCCAAGCTACAGAAGTGGGCCACAAATTTCAAGCCCTTGTGATGTTCGTAGGGGACTTTGGCTCATTGGAAACAGAGCAGCTGCTCGCACAACTCGGACATGCGGCCAGGTTTGGATCCGACCCCCTACCTGGTCCATAGTGCTCAGGTTTAGCTTAAATAAAGGAAGGAATCCTCCCAGCAAGCCCATAAGGGTTGAGCGCACATGGAACAAAGGGACAGAAGCTATTTATTGCGACAGATGGCTGTACACTGACCCAGGATTTATAATACCGTATTACATTTCCCAAAGTCTGTTTCTGAAAATCTCTCTAATCTTTGTATGAATGAACTCGAATGCTGTCCAGGGCCCACCAGCTCAAACACGGGCAACCCTCGTGAAGCGTGGGTTAACGTCCAGAGGAACACGTAGGAGACCACAGAGCCCAGATGGCCCCAGCACAGCTGGGCTTTGGGAAGGGCAGAGCTGGGGTCCTGCGGCGAGGAGAGGGTGTTTTTGGGGGGCTGCTGGGAGAGGGAGGAAGGGAAGGGAGAGGACAGAGAAGTCCAGGTTGAGAGGCAGGTTTAGGGGGTCAAGGAGTGTCCTTTGCCGTCTTGTAAATGTGCACTGAGGGCAAATTCAGATTTCTCTGCTTAATGCAGCACCTTTCCCCCTGTTTCAAACTCCCCATGCTCCATCAAGTGAAAAACTTGCAGAGCACTGGCATCACCCATGAAGCAAATGATGAACTGGATAAAGCTGTAGCCGTGCCCTGGACTATGGGTGTCTACTGAACACTCCCATGCCAGGGCTATGCACGCCCCGGAGAGGCTCTCTGCAGCCGGTGACCATTTGCTGTGTGACCCCAATGTAGCGCAGGAGCAAGGGCTGGGAATTTTGTGGACCGACACAGAGACTTTTCTGGGATAGATGGGCAGAGCGAGCCGTCGTAATGAGGGCACCCATGCCCAGCACGCCACCACTGCCTTACCTTGAGTGAGGGGCAAAGATGTAGATGGACCAGGAGTCTCTCTCTTTGCAGCAGGTGGGGAGATGTGCCCGTACCCACGCCTTCATGCGGTCCCTTTTGCTCTAGGAGAAAACGTACAGCAGACCAGGAGGAAAACACAGAGAGAGCTGTTAAAAAAATAACCCCCCGAAACTTCCAAGTGAAGGACTCGGGGCGATTTTTCACTGAGCAGATATCTGCAAGTGCTCAGTAAAGCTGAAATAAAATGATCTCCCCAAAAAAGACCCCTGCTGGGCATGGGAAGGAACTCTGGCAGCCGGGCGAGGGCTGTGCCAGCTCTGCAAACTCACAGGGCTTGGTCTTGCTTCTTCCTCCGCACAGTAACCACATCTGGCACACAGTTAGCCATGGGGGCAAACACGGTCAATAAAATCCTTGTCCCAAAGGGCTGATAACCCACTCTGATCAGCCTCAGTCCCTCCAGATATTCATCAGATGCTTGCCTGAATCTTCTAAGGTTTTTTGGGTATTTTCATTGGGGTTTTTTTGTTTGGTTTTTTTTTTTTAAGAATATATAATGCTTATATCAGAGGTTATAAAGGGAACAGAGGGAGGGATTCCTG